AACGTACGTAGTAACGAAGTAAGGTAGTAAGTTAATATACGTATAACTTATAGAAGTAGTAGTTAGTTAGTTAGTTTATACTACACGACATATATATATATATATATATATATATATATATATATATACACACCTAATTGCATATTACTTGAAACTCAGTTTGTCAGTGGGCTATTTACAACAACTGATTTATGTTATATAATTATTGTGTAACAGCATCCCTTGTAACATTCCACAGATTATATTTCATGCAACAGGTGAGTTACACTAATTATCAGTTACAGACAAACAACTAACTTAGTACACAAGAAGCAAATGATTTACATTATGCAAGCATTGCTTAAGGACATCCGTCATGTTACAACATCAGGGAAACCATATATGCAGATTGAGTTACATCAAGAGTGTCATAACCATGTTAATGCACCCATTTTCCTTGAACACATTTGATAAATTGTCTTAACTATAAAGTGGATTCTTAAAAGAAATACTTGGTAATCAAAATTAATGTTGTCACTTGAATTTGTGTAACATATCTCAATATATGTGTGTGTATGTATGTATGTCACCTTCAGAATTTATCTGTTATATTACCTGCTATGTTTAGATTATTTTGATTTTAAGTAACTCTGATTATTCTGTCTGAAGTAAAACTTAATGAAAGCAAGCATGTGTCATTAAACCACACACTGTTACAGTATCTGGAGAAGTAGGTAATACATGTACTAATATATTTTGGTTAAACAAGTTCAGAAAGCTAGCTCTGGCACTGTACTATTATTGTATATATTGAGTTTTGTTTTTATAAAGTTATAAGTTAGTACTTCACTTTTGACATGAATACAGAGCTATAATTACAAAGACCTTTCAAACAAATTTGAAACATCATCCTTAAACAAACTCCAAACCAGTGGAAGTCCGTTAAAACATTTCAAATGTGTTTGTTACTGTTTAATCACAAGTTTATATCCCATAGTAACATTACATGTATTTGAGTCATTATTATATACAAGAAAGAATGTATCTGTAACATAAATGTAATTAGTCTACAGCATTACTTATAAATACTTTGTAAATGTTGTATTCCAGATTAACTAGATATACACTGAGAAAGAAAAAATAACTGCTTCCACAGAGTCACTGTGAAAATGTTATATATGAGAAAATACTAGTTTTTCCCAAAGAAATGGTTGTAATTTTTCCTTAAAAAGTCTAAGTCTACAATTTTTTTTCACAAGAAATGAAAATATTATTTCGTTATATTGCATGCACAATAGATTTTTTGAAAGTTATATATATTAAAAAATATCTCTATGCATAAACGACAAGACTGTAATGAAAGTTATGTAACAAAACCACAGTATTTTGTATGTAATACAGTGTATGTGTCAAGGTTACTTCCTGCTCATCCATCAGCACTGTACAAATGTATTTTCATGTGCAGCAACAACATATAATTCTTACATATATTCGCAGTTAAAGATTTTTTACATTGCCTGACCCTGAATGGGACTTGATATAGTCTTATGTTATCAGTGTAAGTAATGAAAAATTACATACAGTACTTTGATACTCTGGTCTTGACATTTCCATGACTCTACAAAGTACTGTACCTTGACACAATCACCCTGTTTGAACTTTTGCTTGCATAATCATAAGCAAGCCTTGGATTAAAGTAGACAACCTTATTTAATAGAACTTTCAAATAATGTTATTAACTCTGAAGTATTCATTGGTTTTAGTTCATTTTCAAAGCCAATTTTCTGCTCCCTTTTTTTTTTTGCAACTTTTTATTTATGTGATTTTCTTGTTATTTTGATGTTTATGATACATGACCAGCAACTTTGTTTTATCTTCATTAAACTTGTTTTGTGTGTATATATATATATATATATATATATTGTGCAAAATAATCTGAATCGGTGCTCATCAGACAATACAAAATAATAGTAATTACAGAAGATAATCAAAAGATTGCAGGTCAGAGGTCATAAAGTCAGCAGTAACTTTTAAATCTTATTCCAAAAAATTAAGTTTTACTGGCCATAAAACTAACATTCATTATTGATACAATTTTATTTATAATTACATTTAAATAGATTTTCCTCAAGAACAGGAAATAAAGTATGATTTCAAGAAATGAATTACACTGACTTGATCAATACTATTTCTAGAGGGAAACTTTCAGATGCTAGAAAATGAGTGATTTTGAAAAGATACTTTTTTTTCTCTTCAAAGAGTTTGTGCTGGGGGTTGTAGGGAGTGCTCAAAGCAAAGAAGAAAAAAAGATACTTTTAATTGAAAACTAATTGATAATTATAGAAAAAAACTAATACATACTTTTAAATATTTTATATTTACATGCATCTACTCAGATGGGTTTTGGGTAAGACAAAATACCAAAAGACCTGATATAGAGAAGAAAATCTGAGAAAATATTTTTTCTTTTTGTTTTTCTTTTACTTATTTTTTTATTCTTGGTCTAATGTTTTCATAACATGATTTTTCGATTTTTGGGCATTGAAAATTTTGTGGTCCCAAATATTGCCTGTATTATCCCTATCAGCCCCCCAGTGGCACAGCAGTATGTTTGTGGACTTACAATGCTAGAAACTGGGTTTCGATATCCATTATGGGCAGAGCACAGATAGCTCATTGTGTAGCTTTGTGCTTAACTTAAAACAAACAAATAAATACCCCCTATCAACTGGTAATCTGATATACCAGTTTGTTTATACGTGTATATGTTGATATCTTAGCTTCATACATTCACACGTAAAACTGAAATGTGACAAGAGATTGAAACTAGCAAGGGATTAATTAGTAGAAGGTGTATACAAGTTAAAGTTCTTCTAGAAACACAATACACAAGTTTCTAATTGTAAAATACTGTCAGAGAACTTTACCTTTGTGGCGAGAAAATCTTTTAAGTCAGGAAAAAAAACATGTAGCAGGAAATTATGCCCGTATGTCCAGAAACAGAAAAGTATTTTTCATGATGTATAAATCAGATATTATTTAATTTGATTTTACTTTTATGAATATTTAGAATATGTATGTATGGCACACAACTAATATGATTAGTTTAAAAATTAATTCATTACCAAAAAATACTTGACTAAATTGTAAAATACATTCTATAAAACTACTTGATATTAGAGTATATATGACAATATGTATTTTTCAACACTAAATATTATCACTGTCTTTTCACAGAGGTGGTGAGAACACGGCTTCGCCAGGAAGGAGACAAATATAGGTCCTTCTTCCAGACACTATCATTAGTCTTCAAGGAGGAGGGTTGTCGAGGATTGTATCGAGGCCTGGCTACCCAATTGGTGAGACAAATTCCCAACACTGCTATTATGATGGCAACTTATGAAGCTGTTGTTCATCTCCTCTACAGATCCATTCATCAGGTTCCTATCTCTATGGAGATGTGTGAAGAGGAGGAGTACTGAACAAGTCTTCAGTGATGTCAGCCTGTGCAAAAAAATTAGAGGTTCCTGTTCTTATTTTTCCCTACTTGTATATGTTTTAGAGACTATGGCTTTATGTATATTAATAATAGAGCATGTAGATAGCACAGATTAGTAATGAGTGTGTCAGAACACCAGACTTTTCCTTATATGAAGAGAAAGAAGGTTAAACCTTACCTCTGAGTGTGTTTCACCTGCCTGATACAATACCAAGTGGATTCACAATACTAATTATTCCCGAGTTTGGCAATGTGGAGTTACAGTAACCACAGAAACTACTTGTTGTTAGAATGTCAGCTAGTGGACAGTTTGTTGAGTAAAATCTATTTTGCTGAAACTTAAAAATAGTACAAGTGAAATTAAACATAGATAAGAAAAAAGTTTATGAATTTGTAAGAGTGAGCCATATCATACTTCATGGTACAGTGATGTTTTCATTTAGTTCTAATACTTGTCAATCAATGTTTTTTGTCTTGTGTCCTAATCTGAAAACAAAAGCCAAAGCTGTTTGTTGTTTATTTCCATGTTTTTAATCAACAAATCATTACAGTATACAGATTCAAACTAAATTTTGTTATTCAACTTAATTCAGTATGCATTGAACTTTAATTTTAGTTCTATTATGGCAAAAACGATTTCTCCCTCTGATTTAAAAACAAAAAATTGTCAGTTATATTCTGTATATATTATATATCAAAAATGTTTACATTTTATTGCATGTTATAAAAACAACACACCATATGAAGTGTTTTTAGTATACCAGTGCAGCTGTATTTTTTTTTCAGATGTTTTTACATTTCAGATCATGTGGTCATACTGCTATACTGTATTGGATATGTTTGACTAACATCCTTAAATTTTACTATTACATTTATTAATTGAAAGTGATATAATTTTTTCCAATTTTAAAAAACGTATTACTTCAAGTATGAAAATTAAGTTATTTCTAGTGTAACAACTCTTTTTTTATTAATGATATATATACTTTCCTACTCAAAATAAAGTCCAAATTATAAACTTTTGTAGAAAATGTTGCATAGGATAAGTAGTCATTAATTTGTCAGTTTCTAATAAATTTCATTATCTGTACCATTTTCAGGTTGTTGTTTTTTCTGCACAAGTCAGTAAAAGTCTATAATAAGAAATCTTGCATACATCAAAAATTACAATTATGTAGTAATCTAAGAACCTGTTTAACATTTCATAGAACATTAAATGTATAAAAAAATAGAATAGTATGTAAAGAATTGAAAAATACTTGTCATTATGAATAGTGTAGGTATTATAGATATTTGAGTGTCATCAAATTTAGGTCCAAGAAGACAGTTTTGCCTCTTCTAGCTATAAGATTGTAAAAAAAAAAAGAGAGAGATTTTGATGTGTGACCTAATAAAAACTAAGGAATGGGATTTATACACTATCTGAAACTGTATTCAAAGCTCTTGTTTCTTGTAAATGTCTTTTATTTTTGGCTGTTATTAATAAATGATTTATTTTTGAAATCTTTTTTTTTCTAGAAAAATGTTGACATAACCCTAGACTTGAAAATAATTTGCAAGCAGCAAGCATACAAAATATCATAAATTCTTAAAAACATCCAAGAGTTTTGGAATAACTATGTTTGCTTAGAATACTTTTCTCCACAAGGTGTCAGTTAAGCCATAGTCATAGTATTTATTGGTGATAGCCATTTGAATAAGACAGGTGTGCTCAATGTTTTGTAAAACATGTATTTTGTGTTTAGAAGTAAACATTTGTATTCCTCCCATTCTTTTGAAATAGGTGCTAAGAGTATCATGAAATATATTCAAAATAAGTTCTATTTACTTGTGAATATAATACTTTCAAGTTGTCTCATTTGTATCCTTGGAAGATATTACTTATGTATTAAATATAATATTTGTGTGTAGATTTTTCTTTGACTGATAAACATATTACTGATGTATCAAAAATTGTTTTAAGAATAAGGACAGAGTAAATGAAAACTAAATAAAGACAATATTGTCTTCCATTTCATTATTTACTATTTGCTGGAAGTTTGTTGTTAGATGTAATGTCTAACCTGTACTTACTTTGTGAGGTACTGTATAAATTGTCGATCTAGAATATTAATTTAAATATAACATGGTTTAAAAATTGTCTTCCTTCACCCTTTCAGTTCAAATTAAGTATATGAAAGTTGTTATGAAGCACAGAATAATGATATTGAAAAAAGATGTGATTTTTGTAGGTCCTGTGTTTTCAGGAAAAAAAAATATAGACTTGGTTGTCAGTAATATTTCTTCTTTGATGCTTATCTGTTTCTGTGGTTCTAGCACTATTAGTTAACAGTAGATGTAATTTTCACCTTGCTGAATCAGATGTTTACAATTATAAAGTAGGTCTGTAGACTTACCTGCACATCTTCCAAGTCAGGTAAATTTGTATTATGGGTACATACTAGCTTATAATCCATGCAAGTCTATGGGCAAGCTAGCCAAGTTCACTTACCTTAGGTTTCAATTTCTTGACAGGATGACAAATTTGATAATTATCTCTGAATTCAAGAAAGTCTTCTTATCAAAAAATTAAAACCTAAACTGAACCAACAGTCTTGTTGGTCAAATTTCTTCTTGAATTATAAAACTATAACTACTTTGTGTTTAAATACACAGCATTTTCAGGTGACACAAGTTTGTGCCAAACAGAAAGTAAAAATGTGAAATTTCTTATTTTATTTGTATAATAGTATGTAGTTATTTGCCAAAACAACTTGCTTTGCAAATATCTGGCAATTAATTTGATTTAAGTTTTTGTGTTTCTGGCTATGAACTAGAATCTATTTGCACAAGTATTTTCACAGTCACATTGTTTACTTGCTTTGTTATTGGAAGTTTTATAGTAGTTTAGATTTCTAATATGCTAATGGTGTAAGGTTGCGAGGACTCTTTGTAAGATGTCCACAGTTTAAAGTGTATACATATATAGCTTTTGGTTTTTCAGTTAGTTTTCAGTATTTTTTGTAAATACATAAAATAATATTTTGTCTCTAGTAATAACAAAAATTAACACATTTCTAAACATAGTTTGTACTCGTGCATATTTTGTTCTGAATAATTAACAAAAACATGTTAAAGTTTTTCTGGTGGCTGGAATATTTTTTATTATTTTTTTTTTCTTTAATTGATATTTTGTGTCTGTTAATTTGACTACAACAATTAAATCTAAGCATGCCATTATGGAACATTGTTTCTCTGTTTCTTTTTTTTTTTCAGGAGAGTTTTGAAAGTATGAACTAAAATTTTTATGTATAATTATTAATTTGATATCTTGAAATAATATGTTAATGCAACCAACATTTGATGTAAAATGCAGATAATTACTAAATCTTAAATATAGTAAAATAGTTATTCAGAAAAAAAAAGTACTCTATGGATTTCTTTCTTTTCTCTTTAAACCTACCTCATTATTAAAAATATTCAACTATCCTATGAATATTTTTATAGACCAGGAATTATTTCTTTACAAAACTACATCATAAATGATAATTTTTTAAGAAACTAACTGGCTACAAATTTCTTTTTCACTTTTTTTATGAGAATACTTTGATGTTTATGATAAATTGTTTGACACAGTAAATGCACATGGTTATTCCTTAGCTTGTAGAAATAAAAATGGGCTTAGTCAAGGTCTCTCATTTCTGTACTAATTTTTTGTTTATTATATAATTGCATATAGTTCCACTTTAAAAAGAATAGCTGCAATGTAATTAGGAAATGTTACTAAAAAGTGCTAAGGTTCTTCATATTTTTCTGGGCTTTATTTTAAAATAGATATACTTGAAATTCAATTCATCTTAATGAAAAACATGATTAAATAAGAAATGATGATGATTAGGCTTTGGAATGTTATCCACTGTACAAGTTATACAGTTTATACTGTAAACTTCCTATGTTTACAATTCGTCATTTGAAAAGTTCAGAGACTTTATTGTTATACTTTCAGATATAAAATGAATCTTTTTGATTTTTTAGCAGTTTTAAAAATTTTTAACCAAGCAATCTGATCAACTATTTTATAATTTCTTAGTGGTATCTGCCTTGTGGAGATAGAATTAAACGTTGGTCTAGTAGCAGGATATGATCTTGAACCCTCAACTTAAATGGTTAATAATGAAGGCTTAATCTGTAAGGAACTTGGTATCTTGGTTTTCAAACTTAACTTGGTGCCGATAAAATTTAGTGTAAAAAAATTATTATTTGATACATTTTTCAATTAAAAGCCTACATTGAAAAGATATTAACTTTATTTTCTTGTGTAATGATAAGAGCTACATTTAAGTCAGTTGCATAGCAAGAGTAGTTGATTGTTGAAGAGGTTGAATCCTTTGTAGTCTCTGGTCTGGTAATTTTGGATGATATGCAGGTTGTATAAAGTGTACAGCATTTTGTATAGCTAAGTCATTGCTTGTACAAATGTTTCTTGAAAAGAAATAAAGAAATTTAACCAATTTTGTGTTTTTTCTATGGTGTAGTGTGAGTGTATGTGTTTTTCTCTTACTTAGCATGTACTTCCAGTTCCTATAGAGTGACTTTTGATTATACGTGTATATAGTAAGTTGATTGAATATTTTATCCTTTGAAAGAACCAAATTGCACAGCACTAGCCATTTCTGTAAGGTTTCAAAACACAGACTTAGTTGAGGCATGATAAAAAATATCTTGCGAGAAGTCTCCTGCACCCTTTTCCACGTATTTATAGGATCGTTAGTCTTTTGATAAAAACTAACTTTGTTAAAAGAAAGTAAAAAGCATGGAAGTTTCTTCAAATCTTAAAGGTTTCATTTTAGAAAGAGAAAATGACCCGTTAACTTTTAATTCACTCGTTAATTTGTTTGATAATGTAGAAAATATGTAAATCATCTATGAATAAAAAACTCAGATTATATTTTTATGAATAAATCGAGAAGGAAGAACTATATAGTTGTTTAATATTGTTTCCTTGCTTTGTTAACTATGATAATAATGTAATTTATTTTTTAATTTTATAAACAAGAAGTTGAAATACCCGTCAGTTGACGGGGAATGTTTAAACTTAATTAAAACAATGTACGTTTAACAGCAATCATATATTTCAGAGTAATAATTTGAAAATAAACTTTATCTCTAAATTTTAAAATTACAACAAAGTTTCTTTTTAAACAACATTTGAAGTTTGCTTTCCATCTACCAACAAATAAAGATTTTGAGGTTATCCCACCCTACATCTTACTGACCATAAGAAAAGCATGGTTGTTTGAGAAACAATCCAGCAACTTTAAGTAACTTGAATCCCTTTAGAATATTCAACATTGTAAAAAACACCAACCTGCCAAGATTGTTTGAGATTGACTCAATAGACTGGGAGTAATTAATCAACAGGGTTAAGTTCAGTTTTGACCCCCCCCCCCCCAATTACGACATTCCTCGAAGTGTTTACATACAAATTTGGGTTGAGATTGGTCCAATAGGCTCAGAGGAGTTAGGGTGCAAACAAACACACATTTCGTATATATATATATATATATATATATATAGACTACAGTATTTTCAATACTATCAGAAACTACTTTTTAGTAGTATATATAGTAATGTAAATATATGGGTGTGTTGGGCTAAGGATTCTTCTACAGTAGGTGTCTGTGACTTGTTGGCAATAAATTCGACAATAAAAACAACAAAACTTTATTTTTATCACAATAGTATCCGTGTATAATTCACTTACTCTGTTGCGTGAGTTACCACAGTTGTATCCTGAACTTCCAATAATCACTTGCTTTTCGTACTTCCAATAATCGTCTGCCTTTTGTCAAAGTCTACACAGGCTGTTCAATTAGTTGAGAACACCATTTGACAAGACAAATTATTCTCCTTGTCTCTTTCAAACTATTAATCTCACTCTAACTGCCTAACATATCAACCATTAAGCCATTCACTCCCACAATGATTAACTTTACATTTTTCTAACTTTTCTCTGACTCAACCTCTCATTCACGTGACTTTATAAACTTTACTTTATCGCATGTAAAAATAACAAACATGATTGTTTAAAAGTGTAGTATTTCAGCAAGAACTTTCTTGCCCCTACCAAATAGTTTTGTAAGATACTGAACTTTTATCCTTAATATTTAACTGATTCAAGCATTTGACCATCCTCAAAGTGTGATTTTTTCCCCTTTAAGTTTCAAATGACAAAGAACACCTTCTTTTAAAGCTTTAGACTGAAGTAACCAAACACCAGTGTTAGGTATAAATGACTGTTTTAATTTAAGTATAGCAGAGTGTTAAGTTTAGTTATTTTAACAAGTGATTGTTTATCGCAGATTTGTTTATGTTACTATGCGAAT